TTTTTGTTTATATATGACGAACCACTTGAAAAAAAGTAGTTTTAAGCATTTATAAAACTATGTCCAGGAACTTCCTACTAAAGTATGACTTTTCAAGGGACAAAAAATTTCAAAACAGATTAGAGTCTTCTACATACACAGACGACACCGCGGAGGTAATTTCTATTACACTGAGTATTAACAGTGGAACACTATGTTAGAGCAGGGCTGGATTTCATGCTGGGAAAGAATCATAAATTACCTTCTTAGTACATCTAGAAAGTCTTTGAGTTTAGGAATGGTCGTACTATATTACATCAATGAGTGGTTTTACTTCCAATATTTCAAGAGTTTAAACTTATCGTACGTTCATGACGACGTAAAAAGAGTTAAGGACAGTACATGTAATATTAGCTATACATGATATTAGCTGCTTTTGTTTGGTTGCTCGACGTAATAGTTTTTCAATTTAACTAGTTTGACGAGATGAAATTCAGTCGTTAGGACTGCTAGTTTCATAGGAAAAAAACCACACACCCTTTGCATGATTTTAAAATCGAAGTGGATTTGGTGAAATATAACTAGTTAACTGTCCTAAAAAGGTTAAAGTTAACGTAAAAATTTGATTTTCGTTTAGATCTTTCAATAAATCTGAAGCTTTCCTTTTTGTAAGACTTGCTGACTCGTCTTTCTTTTATTTCAAGTGCATTACATAGAGGTGCAGTCTGCAAACCACAGAAAAGCTCTGAAATACACGATCGAGCTGATTTTCCCCAAATGTCAGGAGAATTGGACGCAAAAATGCTTTAAATATAACAGCTTTCCCTGACCAATTAACGACACCAGCAGCGTGGTGCAGGGGAACTAGGAATCCACCATACGAGCACGTGGTCAAGGTTCTACTCTGGGGATTCGGCAATGACGCTGAATCTTAGGCCTGTTGACAAGGAGGTGGGGGACCCCAGGAAGGTGAGGCAATCCGCCTGTCCATACATATAGTCTCTTATTTAAATTTGATCACGTTTACATGATAGGTGGGGTGACAATAAGAGAGATTATACAAATAGGCGGGTTACCTCAGCTAGCTGGGTTCCCCGCACCTCCATTTAAACAGGCCCTTAATTTGTCGAAAGTAGTTCCAGGAATTACCGGACCTTGAGAGCTGTTTTGTTCACATACAATATCGAGGTTTTAATGATAAACCCATCAGTTAACAGTGAAACAAAATGGACTGAGTTGTAGACTAGCGCGAGGACTCGCCCTTTTTTCGTTAGATTTTAATTTTAATACTTGGCTTCGGACCCGACAAGTCACCGGACGTTCGAGAAAAGGACCCTTCAAAGCCGTAGTTAGTATAAGGCTGGAGAGGCTAAAAATCTTGAAATCAGTTTTCCAGAACTCACGAAAATTTTCGACAGATCATTGGTATCAGCTTGTTTCAGGCAGTGTCAAACGTTCCAGTAACGAGAGGAACTGTTCCTTTCTTCTCTAACTGGACTGTAAGCTTGTAGATATGAATTCAATTCTTGCTTTCCGGTGAAGCAGAATCCGCTGATTACACTGAAGCGTCAAGATGATCAGCGGTAATAGAATTAAAACGTTTTTGAAAGCTCAGGTTTCTTAATAAATTTTCCAAATATAATACTCGTTACCTAAAATTCGCGAAATTTCCACTTGATCTGTAGTTTCATGAGCAGTTCACCCTCCCACGAACTGCATTGTATAACATAGATCAGTTAAGTTTCATATGCGTTACTTATTTATTGTGGATACGAACAAAGAATAAAACGTAAACAACCAAAGGCGGTTGCGGTAAAATGTTTAATTTTATCTTCCATCTGTCCCGGTGGAAAACTAGCTAGACCTGGGCTGCAAACTCGCTGTTTTTCAGTAATACTCGTTTCAAAACCCCCATTTGTCACCGCCTCTCTCAGCTTTAGGTCTTTTGCTGTTGTTTTCCACAATTCACGTGGTCACCTCCTCTTCGTTCCCTTCACACGTGATCCCATAAAGGGTAACGTGTAAACCGAAATCTCTGCTAAACAGTATTTTACATATTTCATAAATTGTCGCTGTTTAATTGACGCCTCTTCGATCGGTGGTCATAAAGAATATGAAAATACGTGACCATTTCGGATAACAGTGTGAGTAAAAGAGATTTATGTGATTAATCTGTTCTATATGTTCCACGGACGCACTCTAAGAAGGACTAGTAAAACTTCATTGCTGAAATATCAGTCGAAATTCTATTTACGGCCAACCTTTATTATTTACTTAACATCACCGCCACTTGTCCCTAGCTTTCTCGAGAGTGCCGGATTCGATTGTATTCTCCCAAATACAACAACAGTTGTTCGGTCACGTGACTGGTTCAAGCAG